ATTGTGGGTCTTTTCTGGTTCCATACAAAGTGTAGAATATCAATGTCTAGAATGTGAATTCTAAACCTTACATTTTGCCCACCCTCAACTCTTAAAACTGTTCTTCTCTTCATTAGGAAAAAAATTGCATGGATTTTGATGCTTTTAAGTTATCAGATTCTCTTTTGACACAAATTTAGGCCTCAGTTAATTTACCTGGTTGAAAAACAACAAGTATTTGATTTGTACTAGTTTTGAGGGAATGTTGAATCATTAGATTTTTCATATTTAGAGTTCTAATAAATATAATAATTATACCAGATATTTTTGGTGCAAATTTTATAAATATGCCTTGCAGTTAAGCTATTTTGAACAAGTCATCTGTTCTGTTTGGTATTTGGTAACTGGTATATTCATAGACAGTTAAAAATGCACATTCTTTTTTGGTGTCAGTATATTGTGGCTTATTTTTTGTTTCATAATCATGGTTTTATAAATGGTTTCTAATTTTTTAACTGGAGTTTATCCACAGATAACAAAATTATACTCTGTAAATTCACAAATTTCTTACTGGAGCTATCTTTAATAAAAATAAAACTCATGATTGCAACCTGAGTAATTTCAGGTTGTTTCTATATTTTGTTTAAAAATTGCAATGTTGATTTCTTTGGTTATTGGGTAAAGATGACATCATAATTTGTGCAGAGAATAAATTCAGACTTCTATAGTCATCATCTCCGAGAACAGCAGTCCCCAAACTATTGGCACCAGGGACTGGTTTCATGGAAGACAATTTTTCCATGGACCAGGGCGTGGGAGGATGGTTTCAGGATGATTCAAGTACATTACATTTATTGTGTAGTCAAACCTCCGTGCTAATGATAATCTGTATTTGCAGCCGCTCCCCGGCACTAGTATCACCACCTCAGCTCCACCTCAGAGTATCAGGCATTAGATTTTCACAAGAAGTGCACAACCTAGATCCCTCCCATGCGCAGTTTACAGTAGGGTTTGCGCTCCTATGAGAATCTAATGCCACCACTGATCTGACAAGAGGTGGAGCTTATCTGACAATGGCAGCAATAGGGAGTGCCTGTAAATACAGATGAAGCTTCACTGGCTCACCCACCCCTCCCCTCCTGCTGTGCAGCCCGGGTCCTAATAGGCCACAGACCAGTACTGGTCCACGGGTAGGGGATTAGGGACCACAGTCTCAAAAGACACTCTATAGTGGACATACACACACACACACACACACACACACACACACATATATATATATATACACACATATGCATATGAAAGATAGATATAAAGAATATATTCCATTATGAAATCATAACACTAAATCTGTACTTAGGATACTATTCTTTCTTGGTGGTGTTTTAAGCAGTAAAGGCTGACATTTGGTTTTTGGTAACTGAAATGAAAAGCTGGCAAGGTTTTCTAAACTTAGTTTGCTACTATTCTGCTATAGTATGTGTGTAAAATAATAATACAGTAGCTTATGTATATTTCATGTACAAGGATATTTTATGTTCTAAATCTAGTGATTTATGATAAATTCACCTTTAATATTTATATCAAACTTTATACTCCATGCTTGGCTAGTTGCCTGATATCCTTTCCCTCTAGTGCTTTATGAACTATGGTAATTATTAAAGTTACAGTACAATAATTCTCATTTTAGGGTAAATAGTAAAGGAAAGCTGATATGTTTGATAACCAACAAAGATTTTAACTAAAAATTTATCAAAAATCTCTCATTTTGCTAATGCATCTTTTAAATTTTTTTGTGAAATCTGAAAAATTATGCATCCTACTTTTAAAATTTAAACAGTAATGGTAGAAGAAAATACCCAAGATGATGTCCTGGACCTACGGCAAGCTGTCAGAGCCACACTGAAAGGAAGCAGGACAGACACTTTGTGCAAAACCACCAAAAACAGCAGCCATAATCAATCTCAACCTTTCTTCAACAATTCCTTTAAAGACAAAACAAAAACTTTGTTGGGAAGCTGAGTTACATCTAAAAATATAATTGGTGGCTTAAAGAAGTAGATAATAATATGAAATTTGATTTGAAAAAATTAAAATCTTCATGAAGAGATAAAATAGTACAGGAAACAACTTGTTCCCCAGCCCCAGGAGGCTGGCTGGGTTCCAAGGCTTGCCCTGCTGCTTCTCTCAGTTCTGTTTACAACGGTCCAGCTCCTGTTGCTCCTGTCGTGAGTACTCTCCAATGCCCTCTTTTCGTCCATTCCTCCTAAGAGCAATAGGAGTTTAAGGGCCAGGTATCAATGTTTCCGAGTTTCTGATATTATGATGTTTGGAAATACCCTGATGGGCTCTGCCCAGTTGCACAGGTGCTAAGCAAAAGCAAGCAGTCACAAAGTCTGGGTTCAATCTTTGACCCTGATAACTATTAGCTGTTATCAAGAGTAAATTCCTGAACTTCCTTGAGGCTTGGTTTGTTTATCCCTAACTTGAGGATAGTGCTATTTACTTTCTGAACTGATCCTGAAGATTAAAAGGGAATGTGTGTAGATGGCTTAGCTCAGTGTCTGACACACAGTAGGTGATCAATAAAGAGTATTTGTTCCTATTAGTGCACACCATTGAGCAGACTTCCCTTTCTTGCTCTTGTATGTCCTCTTAGGTCCTTTATTCCAAGTATCTTTATGCCCAGAGCTTCTTGATCCACCTGGCTTTTACTGGACATTTGCTCAAGAGCACTGGAGTCTTGGGAGGACACCTGCCGGAGGTTTCCAGCTCATTATCTGTGACTTGTCATTTATTTTTATTTGACACCCATTTCTCAGCTGCTTGGCTCTGTTCCCATTCTCCCTAATTTCCCATCTATGAGATGGATTACTAGGACAATCTGGTGCAGGTTCCATACTTTCTTTTAATCTCTCCTGTAGTGTGGAAGCTGGATGCCGGCATGCTCTTCTGGGTTGTGACTTTGCTGGACTGTATTTGCCCAATATCATTTTGACTTTGCAACTGTAGGCCTTCCTTTGCTTCAGCCTCCACCTGGCCCGGCACTCCTGGTCTAAGCCACATTCTGAAGCACCTTCCTTCTCTTTCAGCAGGGTCTCCTCCTCCTTCCCACTTGCTACTTGGCTGGCACTGCCCTGTGATGAATTCCCATCTCTGTGCAGGGAGCTGATGCTCACAGTGACAGAACACACACAAAAACAAGGGTGGGCATCCACAGAGACAGATTGTTTAGCTATTGCCTTAATAAAAACAAACCACCCAGTTTGGCAGAATGCCATCTTTTAAACTAAGGGAACATATCTTCTACTATAAAGTAGTTGAATTCAGTATGTTTTTTATGGTGATATTATGGCCTTTAAGACATTTTCTGGTAAACACATGGATAACTTTGTTTTACCTTGAACTAGTTATGTTCCACTAGGTAACCCTGTGCTGGATCTGCAACTAAAGGGAGGTTCTGAGAAATTCAAGTACAAGCTCAGTGTTGAGAAACACCAATGCATGAAATGGAAGGGATGTACTTAGAAACAAAGTTAACATCACAACTTATTACTAGTAAGTTTCCAACTGATTACAAAACACGAATTTACTAAAAATTAGAAAGTGTTACTGATAGCAAGTATTCTTGTAAATGATTGTATCACCTCAATAGACTCATAGACTCATCCTTTGAAATGTACTTTCAAAGAAAAATATTATGGGTTTTTTTTTCAGTTAATCTTTAGGAATTTAAGAAGTTCAATTTTTAAAAAAAGACCTAAAATTTCCATATGTCATAGCAGGGAATTTTTTGCCTAACACATATGCTTTTACAAATTATTGGTTGCCACTGCACTCCAGTTTGGGCAAAAGAATGAGACTTCCTCATCTCTAAAAAATAAAATAAAATAATACCAATCATGCCATTGAAACCTAGTAGGTTGCACGCTGGCATGAATCACATTTCATCAAAATTATTTCCCCTAGGTAATAGTATCCATAAGTAAATGACTATTTTTCTTTCTACTTCCATAGTCTGACTCTTGTCTTTTATTATCCACTTGAAATTCAGTGTTTTTTTTCACTTAGATCATTTCATATGATTTTCTAGAATTTACCCTTGTGGAATTCTTGAGCACCTGGTCATCTTCAGTCTTTTTTGCCAATTGTAACTTATCATTAAAAGAACAAGATCAATCAGTATCAGTTTAAATAAGTAAAACAAAACACGAAACAAAATAATAATTTCATAAACTGGGGTGTAGAAAAGTATAGTTTGTCTCCTTAAATGGGAAGAATAAGGGAATTAGAAACTCTAGAAATAGCCTATGCCTCAGGTGAAAAGCAAATTCAAACGTAAAGAAAGTTATTTTCATCTGAATGCAAGGATGTTGACAAAGTAAATCTTTCAGTCTTTTAGAACACAGCCAAATTGGAAGCTAATTTACTGCTAGCTGATGTCAGAAGCAATCTAACTTGTCCACTGCAGAAGCCACACAAAGAACATTATTCATAAGTAAACTACCTTGATAAGAAGCTATCCTCCAAGCATAATTAGGAAATACAATGGCCAGAACCAGAGCTGGAGTTTTAATAATAAAAGACAGTAAATTCACTTTATAACTTTCATGACATAAAAGCAAAATATAACAGAGGAAGTCAGATTATTCCAAACTGATGTCATCTCAAAGCAGTTAAAAATAGCAAATTATTTTTTTAAACTGAAAGAAGTGATCATATATTTTGAATGTCAAATATAGTTTACAGAGACCCCGATGGAATCTCATTTTCAACTTGCTAATTTAAGCAGTAATTACAACACAAGACTTAGCAAATAATTGTTTTCCAGATTAGTGGTGGGCATTTATTGTTTAGGTCTGGCCAATATCTCCAAATAAAGACAATATTCACTATGTTCTGAATTTTGCTCTAGCTTTCAAAACAGTTATAGTGATACTTCCTGACTTTTAGGAGATGCTTGATTCAAGCATTTATTTTTCATCACAGGAATCAAATATCTGTATTCATTATGCCTTTATGTTAATTCAGAGCATTTCTTGTGGCATGTGAGTCCAGAATGGCTTTCCTAAATGTTTCCATGGATTCAGGCCTCTATTTTATCCTCTGTGATTCACAGGCCCCCAAGTTTGAGAAACACAACATTGTCTTGGCCCTGAGATCATTTTCCAACAACTGTGCTCAAAATTTAATAGACCCTGATTTTTCATTGACTTTCACATGGGTCTTTTTCATTCTTAGCCTAATCCTGATGCTCAGTTCTTCCTAGATGTTCAGAAGTTATTGAATTTTTACCTACTTTTTATGCCATGGTAACATCTGCATGGTGACTTTCACCTCTTTTTATCAGCTCTTTTGTTTTTTTAAGAGCACATTTGGAATTTTATTATTTCACAGGATAAATGTGTTTTACAACCCAATTAAAAGTACAACCTGATACAAGGAAAATAGTATTAATATTACAAATGAGACAACTCGGTTCAAATCCTATGCCCTTCACCTTTTGGGAGTAGAATCTCAGGCAATTGACGGGGAAAGAGACAATTTGTTTAAAGCACTGTTTTACTATTTATAGAATTCCTAACTCACTCCAAATTAAACTATAGCTTTTCACCACAGGACTCCACTATTTAGAGGACCTGAGCACTCCAGGTAACTCCAGGTCTATACCCATTCACGATATGTTTACTACAGATACTGTTTCTCTGGGGAATAAGAAACTGGACCTGGAGCAAGAGCTAGACTTCCAACATTGGAGAGATGTTTACCACAGTGCAGTTCTCTTGAATGTGAAGCACATTTGGACAGCCCTCAACATCTGCTGCTTAGTAAACATGAAATGGAGCTAACCTCAAGCAGCAAGACTAAAACAAATGCTTTCAAATTTTACCTGATACACCCGGCCCATCCATAGGTAGAGAGGGAATCATTCAGCAGAACCTGGCATGGAGCCAGGAGACATGGCACGATCCCCTTTGATCTGTGAGTTTTGCTAGGACTGTGGGCCTGACAGCTGGAGCTGCTTGTCAGGCAATATTAGCAATGCCTGGCAAACGATTATCGGTCCTTATCCAGGTGACGATAGGCCCGTGCTGTGCAATTCTTTTCACTTGCACCCACAGATCACAGTCGAAGCAATCTTCATACAAAGAATCAGCTCAAACTAGGGGAAAAAAGCAATCTTCAGAAAATAGTTCAAAATATTTCATGGAAACTGTTACACCGTAAATTATTTGGTTAAAAATGGAAATGTCAAAATAAATATGATTTAGTCATTTTATAATCACGGAGAGAATTTCCTGTGTTAGTATGTTCTGATACAGATGAACTCATTTACTTTGTGGATTTCCAGTTTGGGAAATCCTGACAAGTGTTAATATTTGGGAATCAGCTGGACAGGTGGTTATTATCCAAAGATAATCCTGTGAATAGCACAATCCCAGCTATGGTGTGAGAGTGTTAGGCTAGTTTCTACTCACAGAAAAAAAAAGACTAGTTAAGAGACTGTTCAAGTTAGATTAAGGAACAGAAAAATTGCTCCAAAAGTTAGTGGCTTAAAGCAACCATTTATTTTTGTTCATAAATATTGTAGCTCGGGAGCCGAAACAGGATGCAGTGGAGATGACTTGTCTCTGTTCTATGCGGGGGCTCAGCTTGGTTGCCCCAATGCGAGGGGTGACTTAGGGCAGGTGTGAGAATGCAGGGTGTTGTCTTCACTCACATATCATATGGGCAGTGCCACTGCCGGGGCACTTTTATGTCACCAATTGCCCTGTACTTCCCACAGCACAGTGGCCTCAAAGTGTTGAGATCCTTACCTGGCAGCCCAGGGCTCCAAAAGTGAGGCTACCAGAGAACGGTGGGGGAAAATGTGTCACTCTTTCTCACCCAGATTCAAAAGTCATTCAATGTCACTTTCTGTCAATGTCGTCGTCACAGTGAATCACAGGTATGCCCAGATTCACGGTAGAGAATACAGATATTACCTCTCGTGACAAGAGTGTCGACAGCTGTATGGCCATTCTTTAGGCCAGCGCAGATCCAAAGACAGTCCCAGAGCTGGGACACTACGGGGATGTCGGGGCTGATCTCACCATCATCGGCAAAAGCAGAGCAGAGCAAGCACTCTGCCTGGAATTCTAATACCAAACCAAACCAGACCCTTTATTTACCCAGACATTTAAAAATCTACCCATCTCCTACATCTCTCCATCCCAGGCATTATTTATTTCAGTTTTGTTGAACCAACAATTGTTAAATATCTTGGTAATGTCGAGCTCTGTGTTTGCAAGTCTGGACACAGTGGAAGAGCAGCCTTACTCTGTTGAGACCAGCATGGGACACAGCACTAGAGCAGCAGGTGAGTTACAAAGCAGTTAATGACTAAAAGGACTTCAAAGGACATCAAAGCTCTTCTTTCAGTGTTTCTTAGTTACATGACCCATTTGTATTATTAATTTAATTGCCAAAAAGAAATCCAACATTTCTTTCTGATGTTTTCTGCCCATATAATACATCAACTAAGAATCAAAGGCCCTTTACCTAGCAGCCATCGAACATGAAATCAAAAAAGAATGAGATTACATTTATCTATATAAAGGTAAATAAATAAATAAATAAATAGATAAACAAACATCTGTTATCCATGATAAAAGCTTTTACTCAAACTTCTGTGCTAAACAGCAACATAACAGTTGATGAAAGAATTTTTATACAAAATAAATGGAATACTCATAGTATTCAATCTCCTTATAAAAGTTGCTATCTCTATTGTCATCTTTTCCAATTTATGAACTGACTGAAAACAAATTAAAGATGAAACACTAAAGACGGAATCTCTACATCTAGCTAGTTTTCCACATGAACTAAGGGAGTCAATAAACATAAGTATCATTGTAGCAAGTGTGGTAAATACAATTCTGAAACCACTATTATCAGTTTTCCTTATCCACATTAATTTGCTAGACTCCCAGTCAATTATTTTGTTTCTGTCCATGGAACCTATAATTTATGTTGGGCTGGGAGAGTAGCCTCACAATTTTCCTAAAATGTACAAACTCTACGAGTATAAAAGTAAGTGATTTATCATTAGGAAAAGAAGGAAAGAGAGAGAGGGAAAGGGGATCGGCAGGCCTGAGGAAATAGAAAAGGGGGAAAAATTAAGCATCGGGATTAGAGGAGAGTACAGTATAAATACTGGGGCAATTATGAAAAAGGGGAGCAAAAATTCAATTTATACATTAAATCAATAAATATGGATAAAATACCTACTATATGCCTGACAAAAGTGAGGAGCAGAATTAACAAGTTCCTGTAGCCAGCTCACATTTTAATGAGTAAGGTACACATTAAGCAAAAAATAATAGATAAATAAGATGATTAAAAATTGTAACTTCTGGGAAAGACATAACCATTACATCTTACTAGAAAATAGCTTGTATGAATGGGGAGAAGTCAATTTCTTTGAATTGGGTACCTAAAGCCTGTCTGAGGAGATGATATTTTTGTTTGACCTTTACAATGACATTAAACTAGCCAGTCAAAGAAGTGGGAGGGGAGCTGTGCAGTTACATGGAACAGCAGGTGCTCCAGGACAGGCCTTGCAAGGTATGTAGAGAAAGCCAGTGGTGACTCACAGTTGTTGGGGAACTAATATATACCACACACTTAATATGTATTAACCCATTGACAAATACAAACACAACAAGAAACAGAACAAAGCTATGACATAGACATTGGTTTCGATACTTCACCTCTATTTTGTGAACAAGTAAACTAAGTTGAGGAAAAGTGAAATAATCTCCTGAAGCCTACACAGCAAGTATCTGTTGGCTCTAGAACACAAACTGGGGCGTTCTGATATTTTGGTTTTGTTTTTACAGAGATGGAAAAATCTAGCAAAAGAAGAGTTGGAGAAGTATATCAGAAGCTTCATTTTCAAAATAATTAAGTCTGATATGGCCAGTAACAATCAAAAAGATGTAAAATCACAATTGGATATACAGATAAGCTTACATTTCTGGTTGAATATTTATATTTAAAAAGTATAATATATAGATAGGCAATTTCTGCTTCCAGATAAAAGGGAGTATCAAGGATTAAGATGCACTCCAGCTTGAAGGAAACAAACAAAATAGGCAAGATAAATAAAACAAGGGTTTTCAAGAAACTGGATGTCAGGTAACAAAGGACAGGGATACCTGAAAGACAGGAAATGAAGGAAACAATGTGAGCTCTAAGATTGTACCAGGGTGTTCTCTTGAAGGAGTTTCCAGGCTGTGATGCACATAGAGGAAACCGAGACAAAGCCCCACAAACTGAGTTGAGGGCACAAATATAAAAGTCCAGAGACACCAACATAAATAGACTCACAGGGCAGAGTTCTAGAGTGGAGAGGACTGGAAATACTGTTTCAACCAGCAAGTTTGGAGAAGCTCACCATTCACAGAACATTGGGTAGAGTACTCACAAAAACTTTGGCTCAGTAGTGAGGGATAATTCGTCCTGTACAAAAAGCTTCTATGGGCTTACTTAACAAATCCTAAAATCAACACTTAAAATTATCAAAGTTTTTTTCATATAATTTGTTTACATCTCAGAACAAGGCTCAAGAATATTTATAGGTTTACAATATTCAATACCCAACAAGGTAAAATTTGCAAATTCTGTCATTTAAGATTGCAAAGAAATGAAAAACACAATCCATAATGAGCATAAAAAGTTCAGCTGATCAAGACTGATTCAGAACTGACACAGATATTAGAATCAGCAGGCAAGAACAAGTAAAACTGTTATTGTTTTATCTGATATGTTAAAAAAAAATAAGCAGTGACATATGACATTTTTAAAGGTGCAAGTTATACTTTCAGATATGAAAATATAAAGTATAAAATGGAATATACACTGGATAGGATTAAGGGTTAGTTAGACATGGCAGAATAAGACATTATTGAATTTGAGATATAGTTCAGGATATTCCAAAATGAAACACAGAGAAAAGCACAGAGATAAAAGAGAATTTAAAGAAATGAAAAGAGCATCAGTGATCTATGGAACAACTTCAGGCATCACCATATACTTGTGATTGGTGCCCCTAAAGGTGAGGGGAGAGAAAAAAATATTTAAAGAAATAATGGACACAATTTTATGAAATTATATGAAAATTATATGAAATTTATAACTCGCCAATCTAAGAAGCTTAGCAGACTCCAGCACAAGGACCAAGAAGAATAACACACCATAAACATCATATCAACATGCTCAGAAGCAGCAATAAAAAGAAAATGTTAAAAGCAGAGGAAAAACAGATATTGCATACAAAGAAACAAAGATAATGATGGTGACAAATTTCTCATCGGAAAAAGAGAGTAGAACAAAATCTTTAAAGTATTAAAAAGAAATAAACTTCTTAATGTAGAATTCTACAAACACCAAAAGTATCTTTCAAAAAAAGAAGGCAAAATAAAGACTTTATCAAATACACAAAAGCCGAAAGAATTTATTGCCAGCAGAGCTGTATTACTAAGGAGGAGGAAGTGGAGGAGGAGGAGGAGGAGGAAGAGGAAGAGGAAGAAGAAAAGAAGAAGAAGAAAAGGAAGGAAGGAAGGTGAAAATGCTGAATAAATTTTTTTAGGCAGGAGAAAAATGATAAAAATTGATCTACACAATGGAACACACAGCATCACAGATGGCAACTACATTGGTATATATGTAATATTTTTTTCTCATTTAGTATTTCTAAAGGATAATAGAGAGTTTAAACAAATAATAACTTTTTAAAAGTTTTGTGTGGTTTATAAATGGAGTAAATAAAAATGACATAAAAGGCTGGAGGAAAGGAAATGGAAATATATTATAAAAACATTCTATATATGAAATGGTATAACAGGTAAATTGTATTGAGATAGATCAAAGGTAGATTGTGTTGAGTTACAGTTATAACTTTACAGCAACTACTAAAATATAAAAGCTAATAAGACAATAGAATAGATAAAATAGAATAATAAAAATATTAAATTTATCCACAACAAGTGGGAAAAAAGAGGTAAGAGAAAATAGAGTTTAGAAAAATAGAAAATAAAGGACAAACTGGTAGGATTAAACTTTAACATATTAATAATCACATTAAATGTAAATAGTCTAAACACCCCAGTTAAAATATAT